ATGGACGTTGGATCAATAAGCGATCTGTTAACAGTGGTATAGCATAACACCCAGAAACGGCTGGTACAATATTTTGAGTTGACTCGAAATTTCTACCCGGAGACATCACTTGATCCTCAGGAGTTTGAAGAAAGGTGTTCGATGAAATTCAACTTCTGGTGAAGGACTTATATGATAAAGCCGTCATTGAAATATCATAAAAGCACACCAACAAGTGTCTAATTTGAACAAACAACACAGAATTGCGAAACTGCAAGATGTATTTCTGAAATCGTTTCTTTGAAGCAATCATAGTCGATATTTTTGTATCACTAACATGAGTGCATAACCCCTGAGGTGAATGTTGAGTCACAGGGTGAAAGATATAGATAGTCAGGGTTCTGCATTATTTGATACCCCCAAATCAAGCCTTCCCATTTCGACAACACTGAGTGGAGTACGACCCGAATGACTACAGCNACAGCCTTTCCTAATAGGTCATGCAATGCAGTCTCATCTCTTGTGAACGATCCAAACTCTTGCAGCTGTGGATTTCACGCCTGAATGGCGTATTCAACGTGGGATTAAATGTGGGCTGATAACAAACCGCATAATCTCCACAAATGTATAATTTATAATTGGCATGAAGTAAAAGATGATGAGCGAAAGAAACCTTGCTGAAACAGACGCGTTTCATTAAATTCTTGGCACGTTTCAAATTCATTTGAGAAAGCCATTGTTTCCAGTATGCACTAATAGAATGGCCATAACACACGGACCGATTCGTTTTACGGAACATGAAAATACATACAATCCTCAGCGTAATGAACCCAAGTTTGGATGCACCAGGACAGTTTTATACCGCTTGTGTAACAGTGGGGTTCTGCAAAGGCAAGTGATGAGCAAACCTTTGTAAGGATGTTTATATACAGGAATATACTCTCCGAGAAGAGAGCGTGATGGAAAAGGTAGAATTATGGACTAACTGCAAGTATGCACTTAATTTCATCCCTGTTTCGTGTTTCCTCTCACCAAGAGATAAAGTCAATCAAGTCGAGAAACGCTTTATGCAACCGAAGGGTGAATCCAGAGTAATTTACGGACATATACAGTGGATAAAAAAAAGGCGATGAAGTGGGAAACGGGAGAAAAATTAGTGCACGATTCTTTCCAAGACGTGGATGTCAATTGTCTTAGGATTAACCAATAACCGAGTAATGAACGGAATTAAACTGTTTCTGTGTGGAGGTATGTGCAGGAAAGAGTTGATATTTGGAGCGAGTTCGGGGATTCGGTAGGGCTTTTAGGACGTCCCGATGCCTCTGAACACGTGTTATCCTGTCAATAAATGTGACACAAGCGTCAAAATGCTCGGAAATAAAAACAAAATGCAACCAAAACAACTCTATCATTTCCACTGCAACGGAATAAAGGATAAGGAGGTCTGGAAGACAAAGTAAAATCTTTTTCTTTCAGAAACTTGGTCATTAAGAAAACAAGATAAAGATAGGCTGTCGGTGTTTGAACACCGCTGTCTACGCAGCATTGCCGAATCTGGTGGGGCGGCCGAACGAGCAATGCTGAGGTTAAGTGTAGAGATTTGGGTAATCGCGGTCGTCCACTGGAGCAAGCGGTCGACCTTCATAGATTACGTTGGTTGGGGCATGTGTTACCCATGCCACCAGATGGGTTGCCACGGCGAGCGATGTTCACCGAAGGAGGTAGTGGGTGAAAAACAGCCAAGGGTGGTCAACCTAAGACCTGGAACGAGGGTATGAAGTACTGAGTCACATAGGTCCCCTTAGGCTCACTGGGTGGGGAGCTCGGGATGATCGTAACCGATGATTGGAGACAGTGAATGACATGGCTGGGTGTCGTCAACAGTGGCATTCGTGCATCTTCTCAATTTCTTTGCAAAACATTAATCCAATGAAATTCCAAATTTTCTCTTCGATCCTGCTTTCAGCCTTCCTGTTTGCCTTATACTGTTCATTCATATGGGCAGCCTCAATACAGTAACCAAAGTCGACGCACGGAAGTGCATGCTCAATGGTTTTTCAACTAGGGCGGTCAATGAAATGAATAGTGGGGATTCAAACTAAGGACCGCGGTCGCTGTTCCCGTTGAGGTGGTAGCCGAAAATGGCCATCTAATGTTCGACAGAACCTATGGCGGCAGAACTTCAACCCATGAAGTACACAAGGCAAGTGCATAAGCTAACGTGAAAAATTTGGCCGTATCTGCGTGTTAACAGTCCGAAAAGCTCAGTGAGTAGACGCGCATCCCAAAGTAACCAGATGAGCGTTCACATAAGTAACATAAAATACGAGAAACCAATTTCAAATGGGATAGATACCTGTTTTGTTATTTGGTCTGAGTAAGGCAGCGGACTTTTGGATTGATATAAGTTATTTTCTCATTCGAGGAACCGGAAGCATCTTCGCAATGAAAGAGATCGGTCATTAAACTGTTGTTGAAATATCAACAGTAACCGGCTGCTCGAAGATTTCAGATTAGTAGTTAGGGCTGAGAGATACAATAGACTGAAGCAAACCATAGTTTCTTAAGAGAGGAGGGGGGTGGGAAACAACACATTGATAAGCTTAAAAACATCTTCAACGCATAAAAGCAACGGGTCTAGTAAATCGGATAGTACACACCGTTTGTTTCAGCTCCCGTTTCTCATCTTCAAATCTCTGTTGCAACTTGCTGATACTTTCTCGCAATCGTTCTGTTGCACGACTCGCTTTAGCGGTTTCCTCATTCCGCAGATGGACCAATTTGGACATGCGATCTTCTGCTTCGGAGACTCGTTCGAGCAATGTGTTTTTCATCTCTTGCAATTCGTTCTCGCGTGATTCCAACTCGTTCAGTAGGGAATGACAATGTGATTCTGCCCTGTGATGGGAAGGCAAATGAATGCATGTTAGACGGAAGTGACCATATCATAAACTGGTTCCAACCGTCTGTATTCAATCAACGTGAAAAACGAGTCAGCCCGTTTTGGGCTAAAGGAGGTTCACTCGATTAGAACAGGATTATGTTCAAAGCTGAGAAACAAATTTGAAATTACGTTCAACCATGAAAAGTGTTTCAAGAACTAATAAGTACAGAGAAGTGGTGTGGCATAAGTGATGATGGAGGAGGACATCTAGAAAACCAAACCTGGGATACCGTGAACCAATCGATGGAAAACCAGATATCTAGATAAAACCTTTCGATCGCTTTCGGTCAACAGAAAATCTTCGAAAACGTCAGAGTTCCCCAAGTAGAAATTCGAAGGAGGAAGTTATGAACTTGGGGTCCAATACCAAATTAATAAACCATAGTTAGTGACCTACAATAAGTTCTCACGACTGAACAGTGCTTCGGCAGGGGCGCACAATATTAGCGGTATGGTCAAACGCTCATCAGTTTGATGAATGGAGCGTTTTCGCTGCCCCGAGATGATGCAAGCAGTCAGAACAATCGCACAAAATTTTGTGTAGAGTTTATTATGCAGAATGCGAGGAATACTATCTCCTTGCAAGGTACCCTCCCTTATTCAATCTGCTCATTCAACAATACCGAAAAATAAAACGCTCATATTCATACGCCAAATTCGGAAAGAGCTCTCCAATCGATGCATATGAAAGACTCAGAATCACTTTTTTAGATAATACAACAGAACAAGAAGCCAGCGATACTAGTGAATTTTACTTCAAAGCTATCATCCAAACCATATGCTGTTGTTGTGGTAGACAGTCGATCGACATGGAATTGTATTCAAATTGTGGAAAGATCCAGTATGACACGAACCAACGCATTAAAACCACAAACGTCTTTACCCGCACGCGCGCTGTATGGTTTGAACCATGAGAGCACATCGACAGCTCTGTTTTTTTCAGATTTACTGGGCATTCGTAGAGAACCTGCTCTTATAGGAAGGAAAGTTCAAACTGTGTAAAAATGCTCGTTAATTGCAAGCCTTCCGGAAAAGATGAGTGCTAGTATAGCCATGTTCGGTTTGCATTTTTACACCATCAAAGTTTAAAATTTTGCGACAGGATTGGGTTGGTACAACTCCTAGCCTCAGTCTACCTGGGAATTCATAGGTTAAGCGGACGAACTTTGATATTTAGGCAGCTATAACTCACAGACGAACTGTCAGGACGTAAACAGAAGATTTGAACAGTATGGGTAACTTGAGATATTTCTGGTGCTGTCGGTGTGCCCGGCTGTTTGGGAAAGGTCGAGTACATGCTGCAGCCGTTTGGCCATAACTGATGGCCGTTATGGGAATGGGATGAATATGAACTAGGCTTGACCATCACTGTCTACGTTGCACCATAAAGATGCAAGCAATGCCAAGATTGAGCGCAGTCTAAGGCGATCGCAGTCGCATACTAGAGCACGTGCTAGATTTCCGTAGATAACGTCCTTTGAGGCATATTTCACGAATGTCACCAAGCAGACTGCCAAGGAGCGCAATGTTTGCTAAATTTCGTAAGCAGTGACAGATATTTATCTAATCAATGCCCTTGCAACCTTAGTCCAAATGTATTCTCTATTTTCACATTAATACTGCTTTCAACATACCAATTTCTCATTTACTCTTCCATCTAAATGGGCATCCAGAAGACAGCAACGAAAACCATCGCGCAAAGGTGCGTGGTTAATGGTTGTGTATTCGGAAAACTGAGTGACACTCCGAAAGGTTGTAATGTACTCACGCTTTTCTTTGCTCTACCTCTGAATTCAGCATCTCGACCAGGGCGGCGTGCGATTGTCTCACATAACCTAAATGGTCATCACATGAAGTCACTCCAGACGATTTTCGAGATTGAGTGAACATTTTGGGGATTGTGTGAAACAACTGGAGGGCTGAAAATGAAAGAATAGAAAAAGAACAAAATATTGCAGGTTTCTTCTGAGAAAAACGCGATTTTTGAATCAAAATAAGCATGTATAACCAAACTGACCGAGAGAAACAAAATATTCCGAAACGAAGTAGTTTATTGAACGTTCTCCAGGGATCTTAGCAGCAAGCTACTGTGTTGCGTAACAAATGCCATATTTTTAAGGTGTATTATTCATACAGTGCATTGGTCACCATGATGTAGCGCCCAACCAATACTTCTGTCCGAAGAGTCACAGGAATGAGGAATAACATTATGCAATCTCCAAGGTTGTCAAAAGAATCATTACGATGATAACATCTATCCCATAAATAGCAGACCTGGTTAACTGCAATGTTTTTCATGATTTACTTGTAAAAACTATTAAAGCTTTCTGTATCCCATGCTTATTCTAAGCTTTACACTGTTACTATTACACGAATAAAGTCGGTTCAAAGATAAGCCGGCCCAGCGAACAGTAGTGATTCAAAACGATACCCGGGAAGAGGATTACAAGCGGTATCCCCAGCCCCGATGGGCCTTTCAACTCCAGTTTGTCCTTCTGGCTTTTGTACAGCCACATACAACCGACAACGCAGCAGGGTTGCTCTGAATAAGTAAGTGCCCTGGAGTTTTGGCATTCACCCCACATGAAAAACCTTCTGGATGGGATAGACCAAATTGGATAAAGGATGTCCTTATTAGTGGAGGTCCACATTCCCTATGTCGTCGTTATAATTTTTTGATATTTTCATAGACAAGACACTGACTAAGAGTGAACCCAACTCGCCCTCAGACACTATAGATTCTCGCCCGCGGTCGCTTACTCGGTGAGCCTGAGTCTATCTTATTCACGACTAGACACTATTTTAATAGCCGTCTCCTATATGCTACCCAAGGATGCACCAATCAGCATGCAGCTCTACCTACACTTGTTGTGAGATACTACTCACTTGTGAATAGTTCGCAAAAAGATGAGATCAGCGGTTTCTTTCAACGGCCAAAAATGAACAAGACCTGTTGAAGAGAACTAATGCTGTTCGGTATCGTGAATATAAGAATACGCATCTAATAGTGGACCGTTCCAGCAACTGTCCTGTGTGCTTGTGGGAATTCTGCAGACTCCTTCCAACTGAGATATTTTGTTGTATGAATGACAATTCACCGATACCCTGATCGTTATTCGTAACCAACAACTTTCCTCGACCGGGCACCGTCTTATGGGCTCATAACACACTGTTCAACACAAAATCTCAAATGAGATTCATCATTCCATAGCAGATGTGAAATGTAGTAGAGATAATAGTTTTAACTGTTCAAAAACATACCAATAAAAAATGCTAATAAGTCGATGTTTGTCCACTTTAAGGCGAGTTCGGTAATTCAGTGCTGAAAAGCGTGAAAGAGGAAAACAGCTCATAAAATTAGAGATTCAAAAAACGTATTTAAAACGTGGGTCTGAAGATGTTCTTGGCATTTGCATGCAGACCCACAGATACCTAGCCTGCATAGTGTTCTTCTTACGCAGTACAGAAATTCTGTCAATTTACTCGCATTTTATTAATTTCCCCGTGTGCGCAGGTGCCGGTGATGTTGATGAGTCCCAACAAGAACGAAACCACTGCCCAGCTTTCTTTGCTGGTCTTTGTACAGCATTCGTAACAAAGGAGTGACTGATTGTACTATGCCATCAAACGAACCAAATCGCCTCGCCTTGAGAGTTCAACCACTGATAAGGTTAGCGTTATTCATATTTCTTTCGGTAAAGGGAATCTGTGAAATAAGATTAAACATTATCTTTGTATGGACAATTAACAATATACGCTCTTCAAAAAAGAGATTCTTAATGACAATCATTACTACATAATGTTGGCACATAGCCCTAACACCAATTCGTAAGCTGCAAATGGTAATTTAAAGAGAGTAAGACGTGCGGTGCGTCGAGCGTTACTTTTGTGCAACGCGTAGCGGACACACGAACTTGATCGTTGTTAGCAGTGTTGCGTTATCCACTTATATAGTACGGGCTGATTCATCATTCAGATCCAGCAGACAACATACGTGATCCAATCAGCACGCCCACCTTTTCAAGTGTTTGAAACCGTTGGGCAAGGTGACCCAAACTCATAAGCCAGCGGGGCGTACCAATACGTTCTCGAGTGATCGTGTTTTATTGAGTTTCATCTCATGCGGCTGGCTAGCTGGCTTGGACCGGATACAGTGACTTCAATATTATCATCGTTCGAAAAACCAACTGCGTATTTGAAACAACACCAATCACCGAGAGAGACCAACGACAAGATCAACTGGAAACCTGTGAAATACGCTCAGCGAATCAAAGTCTATGGACGGAAGACGGAAAGAAAGCTCGCATAACGATGCGGATTGTATTGAGCCAAAGTTCAAAATTTTATCTGTCAGTTTGTTGACACCAACGCATTCTTTCAAACATGGATATCAAACTCAGTGAAGAGACATTTTCTGTAATGGCGTTTCATTCCAATTATATAGCACAACTTGGTCTTCCCACGTAAACGCTGTATTCAAGGTGGAGCAAGTTGCGGTTCCATCCTAATAGTCTCTGTGCGTACGCACTGAAAACCACACGAACCGTTTCCAGTCCCGAATCCTTTTGCCTCTTGTAGTCCAGGAAGTTCCACCGTGTTTTATCACGGCAACCAACATTTGGACAGGACAGGAGGATTCAGCATCAAACAGCTTTCACGGTCAGAGTCTTGTCCCTCAGCGAGATGGCCGGGATGAGTGGAGTGAAAGTCCATGATGATTTACTGGTTTATGAACAGTTACGAAATACTGCTACACATCCTCATCATGGCATAACACACGCTTGTGAGCAATCGTGCGTTACTGTTGACTTGACATCTGCGCTGGGGAATGATGACTAAAAATAAAAACCACTGCACCCACGAGATAAAAAACCTTCTTTTATTATAGAGGGAACGGTATTTCTAGTAGAAACAGGTAAACCTTATCTTTCAAAGAAACATTATAATAGGCAAACGGATTTGTTGGAAAGGAACATCCGCAACGGGTATCGCCTTTTATTCTGATTTTAAACGGAAAGAGAAAGTTCTTTATAATAGGGTCGCATTGAATTGTGAGAACAGCGGACCCAGATGAGACAGGTTCAAATCAACCATAGCTGAAGTGAGCAAAAAAGTAACACGGAAACAATCTCCTATTGGTAAATTGTTAATACATAATGCCCATTTCGGAATGATTCCTAGCTCAAATTCCGTTTTACTTTAAAAAGCCGTTAACCATACACTTTTCTTGAGCCGGTTTTGATTGATGTCTTTTGGCTACACATTTGGATGGGTGAAGGAAGATTAGAATATTGAAAATGGTACCAATGTGAAAATAGAGAAGTCATTCAGACTAATCTTGCAAGAACACTGAGCAGACGCAGGAGCTTCACTGTTTGCGACATTCAGCCATACCACCCGGTGTTTCGAACTATCGGCTGCAATGAGATCCCTAACCATAAAGCCAAACGCAACCCACATGTCCGAGTATCCGTATAGAATGATTTAATTCATGTCACATTCTGCAGAGCAGAAAGCGGGTAATCAACAAAACACCAAATCACACGAGAATGAGGTATTATAGTGCACAGATTAATGTGAGCATGACAAAAGGAGAGTGGTTATGTTCCAGAAGGGCTGTACTACAGTCCTTATTGATATCATTCGCAAACATCCCACTATGGTGATGGTGATATTAACCTTTTAGAGAAAGCGAGATGGATATGAGAAAAATCCTAAAGATGTTTCAAAGAACGTGGTTGTAGAAACTCAGTGGATACGATAATTGAGAAACACTGTAAGGTTACAACAATAACGAACTATTTCAAACACAGTAGAAGATAAAGTGGAATCATCCATCAAAGATTTTTTGAGGAGTAACGAAGAAAAGCCATTTGTACAACACGAAAATCATGACGTACAGCAAAGAGGCGATCGCCATTCGCTTACTAGGCCCCAAACTGCGTGCCCGAAAAAGACTGGTTCAATCGCTCCAATTGCCTTGGCCGGGTGTGAAAACCAGAACATGACGTGTCACTTGACTCAAGTGGGGAAAGGTCACATCAACTAATACACTAAAAATTCTTACACATACACAGACACGCACACATACACATCCTCAACTATCTACCTTCGATTAACGACCTTAAATTGAGCTGTCATTCCACAAGGATCTTTCCACTATATGCTATGTAAGAGCATGACTAAGAATATCCGAAAACATTTGTTCGCTCACCGACACGTTTTCTCAAAACCACATATTATTTCAAAAACAAGCTTTGTTTGTCATGATGGGATAATTCAACAAACCACATAATCATGGAGATTATTAAAGTAGGGTGCCAATGATACAGCATTTATCCAAAACACAACTTATCTATTCTTCGCTTGAATACAATGATGCTTTTGGAAGTACGAAAGCAGAGTGAAGAGTTGTTCCCGAATTCCGCGGTTCTTGGGAAAAAAAGACGATTTAAATGCCACCGTCCAACAGGTTAAAGCCAGCAGGAAAATCAGCGCTTGTGACCAGTTCTGGTGTGCCAAAGAAAGTAGAAGAGGGACCCAATCAGTCATCTCCATGGAGAAAATTCAGCGATAATGAGGGCAGAAAACCGAAAGAGGGATCAGACGGTGATAGGCAAGTGATAAAAGACTGTTAGCGCGGTCCAAAAGTGTCAAAAACGAACGGCAGACTTCGCCTTAGAATCGGGCACGATGTTCTGTGGTGGGGCTTATCTGGTCTTGGAAAGAGCGAGAAGTTGAGGAGTGAGGAACTGTTTCGAGCAGAAAGATTACGTGATTAAGGTTAAGTAAAATATGAAGATCAAGATATGCAAAAAGATGACTGGAAGCTAGGCATAAGTTATGGGACCTAATGAATAAGAGACGAAATGCACACCAGGAGCACAGAG